TGCAAGAAAACGATCAAGCTCAGGAAATACTAAGGACCCATCAATTTAAACTAAATTAAAAAAAGTTCAGGAAGTGCAAAAAAAAGAAAGAAAATAGTAGAGGAGAAAAGAAAAAAAAAGAGAGGACAGACAATAATAAAGTGACTTCTAACCTTCATCATACCAAATATAAGCTAATATACTAACTTTAAAATTACAAATAAAAAAACCTCTTCTCCCCATAGCCTAATTTTTATCTCTATACAATCCAGAAATCATCATGGTTTCAACCTCAGTTCATCAAAAAGCCTATCAATGGGAAGAATTTAAAGGTGAAGACTGTACAGATCAAAAAGATGGAATAAAAAGTTGGAATATTTCATCAGGGAACTAATCCAACTTTATATTTCATTTTTTTGCTCTGTACAATCTTCCCATTTAAATTCACCCTATGGCATTGTAGGATTTGATCCTTTCATTACTCTTTGGCATTTGAAATAACTTTTCAAAGCTTTTACCAGACTACTTTGTAAATTGTCCCAAAGGTGATTTTTTCATGAGGCAACTGGACTTTCTTGTGTTTTCTTTGAAAACATTTCACTTCTCATCCAAGAAGCTTCTTCGGCTCTGACTGGATGATGGGGGAATGGAAGGATTTATATTCCTTGCAGACAGCTGGTCATATGCATTATTTTATCCAGCTGTCTGAAAGAACTATAAATCTTCCATTTCTCACCGTCCAGTCAGAGCTGAAGAAGCTTCTTGGATGAAAAGCGAAATGTCTTCAAAGAAAAAACAAGAAAGTCCAGTTGCCTCCTGAAAAAGCACCTTGGTGACAACCATGACCTGGATGATGGAAAATCTCCATAGACATTTCCTTTGTAAACCTTCCCAGCAATGAATGTAAGTTGGTTTGGATCTACAAATCCATCCTAGATTTTATGGAAAGGAGAGGCTGCATCAAGGATACTGTACATAGAAGGATTGTGCTCTTGTCTTTCCTGTGACATGCAGTTACAGAGACTAAGACTAGAAACAACAGGCATAAATTGCATCTGGATAACACTTAAATGTAAAACTTCCTTGACAGCAATATTTGTACGACAGTGGAAGAATCCACTTATGCAGGTTATGGATTCTCTATTTCTGGAGAAGCTGGACAGTCATCTCTGAAGTTTGCTTTAATTGGTTTGTATGCATTTTGCATGAGGTTGGACTGGATGATGTGTGTGATATTTTCCAATTCTGTAATACTCTGAGATGAAGTGTTGTAAGAAACTCAAAAAAGAGCAGCATCAGACTTTCAGCTTCCCCCCCCCTCTCTCTCACACACACATACATGCATTCTATTTTGATTTCCTTGATATTTCCTCTTGACTTTTTAACGACAGGTATGAAGTTCCTTCTGGGATAATTCTTTTAACTTTTGCTGGAGAATATGTCTCCAAAAGTACCTGGGTGACATTCATTGGGTGTGCTACATGCTGATACAGAATCTCTATCTTCCTTACAGACGCCACAAAATCTTCCCTCTCCTTTCCTTAGAATTGTTTTTGAAAAAGGAATTGCTTTGATTTCATTCTAGGCAATGTTCTCTTTTTCAGGTACCTAGCTTGAATCTGGAATAAGCTGCTAATCTCTTCCCAGGAAGGCAAACACAAAGGTTGGACATGATTTACAGCAGACATAGCCACCAGCTGACATGCAAGAAGGGACTTCATACTTCTCTCATGAAGTAAATTATAGCTCTTTCAAGGCAGCGTTGGCTGAAATATGCTGAATGAACAATCAAGCATGCCTTTTGCTAGCTCAGCTCCCTTCTAAAGGAAAGCAGGAATGGAGAAGGGATTTTGAATCTCTATAATCACGTCTATCCATAACTAATAATCATTGCAGGTGTGGAATATGAAAACAAGAGTTGCAGTTTTAAGAGTACCTTATCAAAGGAGGCAGGGATGATGGGAGTTGTATGCATATAAATCTAAAGAGTACGAGGTAGATGATAGATGGACAGGACTGCGTTGTTACTGTGATTTTTGCATCACATTTTTGCCTACCCCTGCTCTAGTCTAACAACACACTCTTTTTCTGAAAGTTCAAATGCTAAAGGATTATAATAAAGAAGCAAGCAAGTTAGAAAGTTCTAGACAGTCAAGTCAGAGTTGTCCAGAGCACATGACCCCAGTGATATTCAACTGATTCTCAAGCTCAAATAATTGCAACCAGAAGAGTCAGGAATGCATTCAATCTATTAAGTCCAGTCATCAGGAAGAATATGGTTCATATGTTTAAGCCTAGATTTCAATCACGAAAAGAAAGAAAGAAAGAAAGAAAGAAAGAAAGAAAGAAAGAAAGAAAGAAAGAAAGAAAGAAAGAAAGAAAGAAAGAAAGAAAGAAAGACCCGTTGCTACAAATGCTCTTTTGGTGTCTTCCTTTCAAAGGCTTTCATAATTCAGCCTTAACATTTACCCCAAATTTTGTTATAGTTACTCAAGATCCATCGGAGTATTTTGGGAGCAGGACTCAATTCTAAGTAGATTCTCCTTCTCAAATGTTTTTGGCTTCATCAAAAAGAGCTCTCAAGGTCTTGTGAACAATTTCAAACCTCTGGCCATTTGGAGTTATTAAATATGACAATTGTATCAACCCATTGGAGGTGGGGTGTTCAGATAATTCAGAAGGCAGGATCTTCTTCATCTTTGGTTAAGGATTCTTTTGAGAGAAAAGAGGGCAGTAACAATATGGGGCAGGTAGCACCACATCCCTAGAAAATTAGGGTAGACTATGTTCTACAACTCCTGCCAATCTAAGGGTTTGAAAGCAGGCAAATGTAAGTAGATAAATAGGTACCACTTTGGTGGGAAGGTAACAGTGTTCCATGTGCCTTAATATAAGTCATGCTGACCACATGACCACAAAAGCATCTTTGGACAACGCTGGCTCCCTCAGCTAGGAAACAGATGAGCATTGCCCCCTAGAGTCAAACACAACTGGACAGGGGGAAACTTTATTTTTACTTTTTATCTTTTTTTATCTTCTACAAATGACCCCAACAACCCCTTCAAATAGCTTTCCATCCTGGCTTGGAATCAAACTTTTGAACCAAGGTCTACCCAAAGTCTATGTTTGATCATGTAAGTGTGGACCTTCCACATGTCTTTATCTTTGCTCTAGGAAGACCTTGAGGATGGAGCAATTGAGTGAGACCTATTTTATTATCTCATCTTATATCAAAAAGGATTAAAAAACAAGTTTTAGGGAAAGAGGCATCCGTGCCCC